TGAGATGGAGTCTTGTCTGTCACCCAGGCTGGAGTGCAGTGGCACAATCACGGCTCACTGCAACCTCTACTTCCCAGGTTCAAGCAACCCTGAATAGCTGGGATTACAGGCATCCACCACCATCACCCCCGGCTAATTTTTGTATTTTCAGTAGAGAGGGAGTTTTACCATGTTGGCCAGGATGGTCTCAAACTCCTGACCTCAGGTGATCCACTCACCTCAGCCTCCTACGTGTTGGGATTACAGGCATGAGTCACTGTGCCTTTTTTTCTTTCTCCTTTTTTTTTTTTTTTTTTGGAAGAATAATTGAAATCAAGGTTTCCTAAAAATTCTTCCTAGATCTCAGCTTCACCAAATCATGTGTTCATTCACCCACGATGTGACTGCTGCGCTTTCCCTGTCTCTGTTTCATTCCATTTCTCCCTCCTTCCTCCCTCTCTCACCCACACAGTGAGGAGCACGATAAAAAGGGACCAGGCAGTCCTGGGTTCCAACCCTACCTGGCTCCCTGTCCTGTAGACGCTCTGACTCTGCTCAAGGCCAGTTTCGTCCAGTAACCACAGCAGTCATACCAAGTTCTAGGGATCTTTCGAGGATAGTGTGTATTAGCCACAGTGGATCCTCTGATGCCTGACACATCTGCTGTGCTCAAGAAATGACAACTCTTGCATTACAGTGACTATGGAGTTAGGGGACAGTGTATGGCGAAATGCTGATCACTGTTGAAAAGTTGGTTTCATCCCTCTAGTCTCAAATACAGTATTTTAAGGATGTGCTAAATACTTTGTCCTGGAGAGCTATCTTAAGGGACAAAATCCTTTTCCCAACATCATCTGAGACACATCCTGACAGTAGAGAGCTATTCCAAGAAGTAATTGTAAGTGCCATTATCAGGCAGGGACAGGGACTCTAGGGGATTTTGGGGTCAGCAGATATGAAATGAACGATTTCACACAGCTGCGGCAGGAATTTCCCACGAGACCCCGCCCCCGGCTGAGTCACAGCACTCCTGGGTGTGATCTGAAGCCCTCCCAAGCTGCAGAACCCTGAAGACCAAGGAGTGGAAAGTTCGCCAGCAGCCCCAAGATCTCAAGGTCTGTCCATTTGGGGGAGTGAGTGGGGACACTGGGAGGGGGTGAGGATAGAACCTTTGCTCCCTTTGCCCATTTCTAGACTTTTTCTCCTTCTAATTTAGAATGACATCTCTTCAGTAGCCCATTAAATAAACATCAATAACTCGGCCTTCACTCCTTTGTTACTGTACAAGCTTCACATCTCAGAACGGGCTAGGACATGGCTCTGTTTGAGAAAATGTGCCAGTGTGTTGGACAGCGAGGACTTTCCACATGTTTCGGTGTTCAGCTCAAGGGGAAAGAGTGACTGGGATAGCTTCTTTTTTCTTTCTCTCTTTTTCATAAATAACCTAATTTTTAATTTGTTATTATTGTGGATACATAATAATTTACATTAATGTATTTATGGGGCACACGTGATACTTTGATACATGCCTAGAATGTGTAATGATCAAATCACAGTAGTTAAAATATCTATCAACTCAAAAATTTATCATTTCTTTGTGTTGGGAACATCTTAAATCTTCTAGCTATTTCGAAGTATGCAATTAATTATTGTTAATTATAGTCACCATACTGTGCTATGGGATAGCTTCTTCTTAACAGAATCATCTGATGCCCCTGACAGATTCTCTTTGTAAGGAGTTTATTTCAGGGGCAGCAAGTAATTGACATTATTGAGAGCTGAATGGTACTTCGCAGTGCCTATGAAAGTCCCCAAAAGTTCTGGCTATTGCTATTTCCGCATTTTAGCAGAACATGTTGGAAAATGCACCCTCAGACACTGGCAAACCTGCACAAAGCTGTGTGCTTAGTCACGCCTGCCTTGTCTCAGTCGTTTCTATGAATTTACTACTTTTCCATAGTATTGCATCATTAATTGTTCCTGAAAAACCCTGAGTTATCCTCTTGTAGAATTGTATAGGTAATGATTGTAATATAGATAATTTCGAAAGGAGAAACCACCTTTCCTTGGAAATGTTTACTTTTGCAGAGTGACATTTGCGAGAACAGTTAATTTGATTAAAATTCTCTTGAAATAGGCTTTGCTTGTATCATACCTGTGCCAGATTTCATCATGGGAAACAGCTGTTACAACATAGTAGCCACTCTGCTGCTGGTCCTGAACTTTGAGAGGACAAGATCATTGCAGGATCTGTGTAGTAACTGCCCAGCTGGTGAGTGCCCAATTATGTGCATTTGATCTGTTCTGTTGGAAGCATTGTTCAATTAGCCTAGTAGTTAAGGCTAATGAGCTCCCTTTTAAGGAAATGAATATGAAAAATCCATTCATTTACACATATTTATTGGATGCTACCACCTAGCTGTGTGAACACAGCCAAGTCATTCAACCTCTTGTGCCTTGACTTTAAGAGAACCTGTTTTATGGGATGGCTGAGAGGATCCACTGAAAGACTTAGAACAGTGCATGGCACACGGCAAGACTTCAATACATGTTAGTTTTGTGTGTAGGGCTTTGTGCTCAGACTGGGGGCATAGCAGCAAGTAAGCAAGTACTGATAAAGTGGGAATGTCAGGCACATTTAAATTTCAGTGTAGGACATTGATGCCCTTCTAGACCCAGTCATATTGATCTCCTAGATCAATCAAGATAATCATTTTGTTTTATTCAATAGATAAAGTATTTTCTTTCTGCTGATTTATTTCTTACAATATCTGTATTTTGTTGTTTCTTTTCTTTTTTTGAGACAGTGTCTCGCTCTGTCGCTCAGGCTGGAGTGTAGTGGCATGATCTCAGCTCACTGCAACCTTAGCCTCCCAGGTTCAAGTGATTCTCCTGCCTCAGCCTCCCAAGTAGCTGGGACTACAGGCACGCACCACTGCACCTGGCTAATTTTTATATTTTTAGTAGAGATGGGGTTTCACTATGTTGCCAGGCTGGTCTTGAACTCCTAACCTCAGGTGATCTGCCTGCCTCAGCCTCTCAAAGTGCTGAGATTACAGGCATGAGCCACTGCGCCTGGCCTGCCTGTTTTTTTTTCTTTTGAGACAGAATCTCACTCTGTTATCCAGGCTGGAGTGCAATGGTGCAATTTTGGCTCACTGCAACCTCCGCCTCCCAGGTTCAAGCGATTCTTCCACCTCAGCCTCCTGAGTAGCTGGGATTATAGGCATGTGCCACCATGTCTGGCTAATTTTTGTAGAGCAGGGTTTCACCATGTTGGCCAGGCTGGTCTTGAATTCCTGACCTCAAGTGATCCACCAGACTCAGCCTCCAAAGTCCTGGGATTACAGGTGTGAGCCACCATGTCTGGCCTGAATTTTGTTATTTCTAATTCTGTGATTGCACAAAGAACAATGTTGCAAATGTATCATTTTAGGAAGTCAATCAAACTAATGTCTATCACTGTGGCTTCTAGAAAACTAATCATTCCTTTCTAATCTTAATTTCTTGTAAACTTCAGAATGCCTTGGGTGATGATTGCCGTTGTCAAACGTGTACTGCTATTTTCTGCCTTTTTTAGGTACATTCTGTGGGAATAACAAGAATCAGACTTGCATTCCCTGTCCTCCAAATAGTTTCTCCAGTGTAGGTGGACAAAGGGTCTGTGTCCTATGCAGGCCGTGTAAAGGTATGAGTTCGAAGATGTTTTTTTCTTCTAGAAGATAGTCGTGAAGATAAGCTTTACTTTCCTATCCACTAACTGCTCTCTACTGAAAATCTCAAGTGTCAAGGACTCTGATTCTTCTGTCAACCAGTAGGTCCAGTAAAATAATTTATGATGAAAGCAATTATTTGTGGACTGAGCTTTCTAATATTAGAGGGAACATTCATTTACTGAGAGAGAAGTTTTGACTTTCCAAAATGTAAAAATGTCTTTATAGAGATTTAAAAGTAAACTTTAACATCACTGGGAACATTATAAGTAGAGTGAGAATAATTGTGACTGCACAACATAAATTTATTCCTAGATTTGGAGGTCAAGTGTAATAAAACTTTGGGGGCTGTGGGGACTTCACAGGTGTTTTCAGGACCAGGAAGGCGTGTTCCTCCACCAGCAATGCAGAGTGTGACTGCATTTCAGGATTTCGATGCCTGGGGGCCGGATGCCGAATGTGTGAACCAGATTGTAAACAAGGTCAAGAATCAACAAAAGAAGGTAGGTTTATCTTTGATCTAGTGTAGTTTTGTGATGTAGGCACACTTGGCTTCCGCCTTGATCCTTTGAGTATAAACAAAGAGATCTGTAGAAACTCAAAGTAACAAGTGATGAGTATATGAGTATATGATATTAATATCATCTTTTAATTAATGAAATATTTCCATTATTTTGTCACAAATGGAAATAATTTGAAATCAGAACATTCGTTAATTGCCAGAACCATTCATCTTCACAGGCATCAGACACAAACAATACTCTAAGTACCATTAGAATAGAAACTAGCCATCTTAGGGTGTTGTTTCAAGAATTATTGAACAATTGGTGTAGATTGCATTATGGTAATGACTTGATTACATTCATCACAGGAAAAGTTATAAAATGATGAAAATGCTTCCATTTTATCATTGCTTTTGTTTTTAATGCAAGGTTGTAAAGACTGTGACTTTGGGACATTTAATGATCAGAAACGTGGCGTCTGTCGACCCTGGACAAAGTATGTATAATTTCCTTTAATGTATTGAGTAAAGAATCTTGGTTAGGCCAGGTGTGGTGGCTCACTCCTGTAATCCCAGCACTTTGGGAGGCCGAGGAGAGTGGATCATGAGGTCAGGAGTTCGAGACCAGCCTGACCAACATGGTGAACCCCCATCTCTATTAAAAATAGAAAAATTAGCCAGAGTGGTGGTGTATATCTATAATCCCAGCTACTTGGGAGGCTGAGGCAGGAGGACTGCTTGAACCCAGAAGTTGGAAACGAGCCTCAGCAACAAAGTGAGACCCTGTCTCTACAAAAAATAAAACAATTAGCCAGGCGTAATGGCACACACCTGTTGTCCCAGCTATATGGAAGGCTGATGAGGCAGGAGGATCACCTGAGTCCCAGAGGTTGGGGCTGCAATGAGCTATGATCGCACCATTGCACTCCAGAGCAGAGACCCTATCTTAAGAAAAAGAAAAAGAGTTGCCTGTGGAGCTTTGAAACTGTCGGCCTCTTCTCTGTTTCCTTCTCATTTCTTTGCTGCCTCTTACCTTCTCTGAGTGATCAGCCCATCTCCATGTTGTTCAATGCCAGCCCCTAGAATGACACAGAAGAAAGTAACAATTGCTCGTTACCCTCCAAGATGTGGCACACACTTGGCACACAAGGCCATCACAGGTGGTAAAAAGCCAATGGTATATGAGAGAATGTGACCGTTGATTTGTGGGACCAGAACTCACACTGTGATCTGTGGATAGGTGCTGGTCCACTAATGGCTTGTCCTATGCCCCTGTCAACAGTGGTGTAGGGTTAGAGAATAAGCGTTTAGAAACTTTTAAGGCAAATTGGCAGAGTAGTGTGTCTGTTGACTAAGAATAAGAATTTGGGCATTGTATTTTGTATGTCTCCGCTCTTTTTCCGTTTGCTTTTTCTTACTAGAAAATCATTTTTGTTATTTTACATTTTCATTTTTATTGTATTTTAAAACTGTATTGGTTTGCAACAGATGGGAAAGAGACTTTTTTGGAGAGAAAGTAAAGTGTTTTAAAACAGGAATCATGGTCTCCATCTGCTTTTGTCCTTTATAATTTATCAGCTTCAGAGTGGCTGACAAATGGATTCATGACACACAAGAAAAGTATTGACTATTTTCTCAGACTTAGCTGAACTCTCTCTTTGGAAAGTAGCTTTTTTAAAAATGTCTGGGTTTTTTTTCCATTTGTTTGTTTTGTTTTTGAGATGGAGTTTCACTCCTCTTGTCCAGGCTGGAGTGCGATGGTATGGGCTCGACTCACTGTAACCTCCACCTCCTGGGTTTAAGCAATTCTCCTGCCTTGGCCTCCCGAGTAGCTGGGATTACAGGTGTGCATCACCACGCTGACTAAATTTTTTTGTATTTGTAGTAGAGATGGGGTTTCACCACGTTGGCCAGGCTGGTCTTGAACTCCTGACCTCAAGTGATCCACCCGCCTCGGTCTCCCAAAGTGCTGGGATTATAGGCCTGAGTCACTGCACCCGACCGGAAAGTGGTTTTTCGAAAAAGGTCTTTCAATACAAATTGTTCACAGTTGTTAAGTGAGTCTGTGTGGAAAGTGGGTTTGAACTGGGCTCTGGAGGATTGATGGATTTGGGGTAGGCAAAGGACCGAGGGAAAGGTGCAGCAGCAACAGCAACAATGATGGCGATGGTGGTGGTGGTGATGACAGCTACCCTTTACTCCGTGTGTCAGATGTGCAAGAGGCTGTCACTGACTCTCACTCATTTGTTCCTTGGAATAGTTCTGGCAGCACATGTACCTCTAATTTTGCAGATGAGAAAACTGAGGCTTAGGGAGATTTCTTTTTCTTTTTTCTTTCTTTTTTTTTTTTTTTTGGTTTGAGAAAGAGTCTTGCCGTGTTGCCCAGGCTGGAGTGCCGTGGTGTGATCTTGGCTAACTGCACCCTCCGCCTCCTGGGTTCAAGCGATTCTCCTGCTTCAGCCTCCCGAGTAGCTGGGACTGCAGGAGTGTGCCACCATGCCCGACTAATTTTTCCAATTTTTAGTAGAGACAGGGTTTCACTGTGTTAGCCAGGATGGTCTCGATCTCCTGACCTTGTGATCTGCCCATCTCAGCCTCCCAAAATGCTGGAGTTACAGGCGTGAGCCACCGCAACTGGCTTTTTTTTTTTTTTTTTTTTTTTTTTTTTTTTTTTTTTTTTTTTTTTTTTAATTGAGGCTGTTAGTCACTGATATTTGCAGTTATTGTAGTTGTTCCTATTAGCCATGAGAGCTTGAGACACTAAACTTTCCTAATCTTCAGTTTCCTTCTCTGTAAAATAAGGATAAGGATAGAATCTACTTTACCTAGCCATTGTGGGAATTAAAATGAGAAACTTATTTAAAATGCTTAGCACAGGGCTGGTTGTGGTGGCTCACGCCTATAATCCCAGCACTTTGGGAGGCTGTGGTGGGCGGGTCACGAGGTCATGAGATCGAGACCATCTTGGCCATGGTGAAACCCTGTCTCTACTAACTCTACTAAAATACAAAAAATTAGCTGGGCATGGTGGCGCACGCCTGTATTCCTAGCTACTCGGGCACCCGAGGAATGGAATCGCTTGAACCCAGGAGACAGGTTGCAGTGAACCGAGATCGCACCAGTGCACTCCAGCCTGGTGAAGAGCAAGACTCCATCTCAAAAAAAAAAAAAAAATGCTTAGCACAGTGCCTAGGAGATAAGAGATTCTTAGTTAGTATTAGCCATAATAATACTAAATGTTATTGTTATTTAAGGTGACATCCTCTACTCCTCCAACTGACAATTTTTTCTTTAAATGTCTCCTCTCTTTTCCATTACAATGCTGTTTTTTTTTTTGTTTTTTTTTTTTTTTTGCGGTAGTCTTGCTCTGTCACCCAGGCTGGAGTGCATTGTTGTGATCTTGGCTCACTGCAACCTCCACCTCCTGGGTTCAAACAATTTTCCTGCCTCAGCCTCCAGAGTAGCTGGGATTACAGGCACATGCCACCACACCCAGCTAATGTTTGTGTTTTTGGTGGAGACGGGGTTTCACCATGTTGACCAGACTGGTCTCAAACTCCTGACCTCAAGTGATCCACCTGCCTCAGCCTCGCAAAGCGCTGGGATTACACACATGAGCCACTGTGGCCAGCCTCAAAGTGAGTATCTTATGGTGATTCAAGATTGTATCTAAATTGCCCCAATATCGTGATGTCTCACGTCTCCACCTACAACAGGCACCTCCCAGGTGCATTTGTTCCTGTGTCCTGCCCTCAGGGACCCAGCAGTTTTCTCCCAGGCATTTGTTATTCAGTCTGAGATACACATGTGTAAGCAGTGCCAGAGGACACTTCATCCAAACAGAATCTATACTTTTATCAATGCCAAGGAAAGGGGATTATAGGGCCCCATATACATACATATATATATATCTACTTTTTTTTGATTTTTGTTTTTTGTTTTTTTGAGAGAGAGAGTGCCTTGCTCTGTTGCCCAGGCTGTAGTGCAGTGGTATGATCTTGGCTCA